AAGGGGAACGTGAAAGTGAAGCCCCCTGTGCTGCCCACCCCTCGCAACCAGCCCTGCCCCCACAAGGGCCACTGTGTCAACTGCTACAAGGACCACACCGCCAACTCGGCCTCATGCAAGTTCTGGGCACATCGCTACATCTGTGAGTGGATCATGGCCAAGTATCGTCAGGTACATGAGCACGCCGCTCGCCACCAACTTACTAACCCCCAAACCTAGACTAATGAAGGGCGACCCTCAGGATCTAAATAGCAGGCTACGTATTTATTGTCAGAATGTCCGTCATACCTATGTGCACATAGATACTCTTCTGGAACTTTGTAAAACAAAATTTGATATTTTATTTTTCCAAGAAACCTCTTGGAATTTCATAAGACACGCACCGTCCACCACTACCATGGAAGGTGATGAGGTTATTGGTGCACCGAAGCACCCTGATTGGTTGCAAATGGTGTGTATTAAGGAGGGAGAAGTCCCTTGCATGATCACCTATGTTTTGACTAGGCTTTCCCGCTATCGTCCTGCCATGCATTGTGACATTGTTGACCACCGCGACATACTCGTCCTCTCCCTCTTCAGTGGGGGTGAGGTTCTTAATCTAATGAACGTCTATTCTGATGATCAACACACAGCCATTGAGTACCTAGCTGCTTGTGTGCATTCTCTACTGCCTTTCATCTATATAGCAGGCAACTTTAACTGCGTATTGACGACTTGGGATGACTATGAGCATGGCGAGTTGTCGACGGCAATATCCCTGTGGGACACCGCATCTCAGATCGGCCTCAAGTGGGCACAACCTTCTAATCACGGACCCATGAGGATCAGTCCCAATCCAAATCAGAGGTCCAATGTCTTAGATCTTGTATTCTTAGCCCCATCTGAGACCTTAATCTTGATGCCCAGATTGGAGCACGATCTCCAGGGTCTGTCAGATCTCCCAATCTGTACAGATCTTGATATCAGTCTCGAACCGCCCAGATCTGGGTGACAGACAATTAAACCTGGAAGTGAGGCTGAGAAGTCTTTCATTTCGGACATTCTCTGGGATCTTGCAGCTATTCCTGTCGCAGCCCCGGCTACCAAGGAAGGCGTTGACACTTTAGCTGATGCTATTGCGATGGCATTCTCGGACGCATGGCTTGCCCACTTGACCAAGTCCAAGCATACCAAGTGCTCCAAGTCCTGGTGGACAGACGAGTGCTCAGAGACATTTGGAGTATATCAGCTTAGCCACTCGCTAGCTGATTACAACAAATTCAAGAAGGTGTGTAAAGATGCCAAGCATGATTTCTTCAATGAACGCATCGCAGAAATCGCTACTTCTCGGAAGCGCCCATGGGACGTGATGGAGTGGGTCAAACAATGCAAGCTGCCACCCTGTGAGGCTATTCGCAATGGCGACCAGCCTTGTCATGATATGGATGACCTTTGGGACACCCTTCACGGCACGTACAACTCAGCCTCTGGTTGTGAGTATGACACCTCAGTTTTAAACGAGCTTCCTGACGAGCCAGTCCGTGAGTGGGCTGACTTTTCAGAGCATGAGTTGTTGAGTGCCCTTAAGGGGTGCTCCAACTCCTCTGCACCAGGACCGGACCATGTCACATGGGTCCACCTAAAGGAGCTGCTCAAGGATAAACATGTCCTCACGCTCTTCATCGTGTTGGCCAATGCCTGCCTTCAGGTTGGGCATTGGCCTCGCATATTCAAGGAGTCGCTGTCGGTTATCGTACCAAAGCCAAACAAGCCCTCCTATGCAGTCCCAAAGGCTTTCAGGCCTATCGTACTCCTCATCACTTTTGGTAAACTTATCGAAAAGATGATAGCTAATAGGATACAGTTTGACGCCGTCAAGCATGATATCTTTCATCCAAACCAGCTTGGCGGCACCCACCAACGGTCAATAGAGGATGCTGGATTGATCCTGACTCATCTTGTGTGAGCGGGGTGGGTTAAGGGTCTCCAGACTAGTGCGCTGGCCCTTGACATCACGCAGTTCTTCCTGTCTATCAACCATGAGATGTTCATGGCTGTTCTATGCAAGCAAGGTTTCTCCCCAATCTTGGTGGATTTCTTTGCCTCTTATCTCGTTGGTTGCTCCACAGTTTACTGTTGGAACACCTTTCAATCCAACTCACGGTCTGCGGACGTGGGTGTCAGGCAGGGCTCAGCCCTCTCGCCTGTTATTTCAGGGCTTTTCATTGCTCCAGTAATGAAGCTCTTCTACATCAAGGCAGCACTGCTCAATACAACGCTACTCTCCTTTGTGGATGATGGGACTATCTTGGCCCAATCCAAACACCTCAATGATAACAATGTAGGCCTGCAAAAGGCCTATAAGATTTTTTCTTTTTTTTCTTTTTTTTGATCAACAATGTGTATAGCGGTGCTCAATGGCAGCCTGCTTGCTATCTACAAACAAATATGCTACGTGGCCTGGGTACTAGGTTAACTACTTAAAGACGACCGCCCCCCCAACCAAGACCCTTCTGGTGTATACATCAAAACTTCCCGGAGGGCAACCCACCTCACGAAAACGGTGCATCGGGATAAGGGGAGGAAACCATTGAGGTTCTGCTACACCCCAAAGTCATTGATTGCTGTTTGGAGGCCATGCAGCGCAAATGAGATAAGAAAAGCACCACCCGGGAGGTTGCAGGGTGTCTTGAGGCCGACAAGCCAGAGGTGCGCCTGCCTGAAACCAGACACCGAGAGTTAGCAGTGTTGCAACCTGCTATGACACCGGGCCGCAAACATGAATAAATGAAGTGGGCGCAGGTCTTTGAACCCTAGAGTTCGGTGGTGTCAATTCACCATAAATCCCCCGAAAGGAGGAACAACCCCACCCACAGCGATTATCCGACACCTGAGGGGTCCCAGTTGAAGCCAAACGCTGTAGAGTTGTACTTCATAAACAATCCAATATCCCCGAGAAAATGGGGATAGTGTACAGAGTATCAATCGCAGCAGCGAAAGAGAATGTGCTGGCAAGACTGCAAAGCAGCCCCAGAAGTGCAGCCGTGAGGCTCATTAATCTTGAAGCGATGGTAGTATGCTCCAATGGGGACATGGCCAGTTATACACTGGCAAACGCGAGCGAGCTCATTAATACTGTGTCCGAATGTTGAAAGCCAAGGTCCCCCATTGAGGTACGATGGCTGGATCGGCCACCCATCAGGCCACTGAAGCTCTAAAAACTCAGAGCCCCAGTAGGTTGGATCCTGGAAAGTGGAACTCCACGAATCCAGGACTGAGTGCGCAGCTTGAGAGCGGAGCATTTCTATAGAATTGTCTGTCTTGCAACATCCAACCCTGAGTACTCCGTTCGAGGTCGCGCTCCCATCGTCGACATCTTTCATAAAGATACTCGATGTTCCCTACTTTGATCCAAAAGGGTTGAAGATCACCCAGGAGGCGCTTGAAAAGGCTCTCCGTACCTCGGTTCATGCTGAGGTCTTCGCATATCTGAGCACCAAGCCTCGGATCGACCGCAACTCGGCGCACTCAACATCGTGCACCGTCTACTGCAACATCTGGGACTCCCAGCAGGGAACCCGTGCCAAGAAGGCCCTTGGCCAACCGATTTTCCTTGCTGGACGGTCCTGCGCAATCAGGCCCGCCGCAAGACACACCGGGGTCCCACTATGCCAGCGCTGCTGGAAGTGGGGCCACCCCACCGTCGCCTGCAAGGCGAAACAACTCTCCTGCCCCATCTGCTCGGGTCCGCACGAACAGAAGGAGCACCATCAACATGCGGGATGTTGCAAGGGCAACGCGAAAGCGAAACCCCCTGTGCCGCCCACCCCCCGCGACCAGCCTTGCCCCCACAAGGGCCGCTGTCAACTGCCACAAGGACCACGCCGCCAACTCGGCCTCGTGTAAGTTCTGGGCCCATCGCTACGACCGTGAGTGGATCATGGCCGAGTATCGTCAGGTACGTGAGCACGCTGCTCGCCACCAACTTACTAACCCCCGAACCTAGACTAATGTTGGGAAACCAGCAGGATCTAAATAGCGGGCTACATATTTACTGTCAGAACGTTCGTCACACATATGCACATGTTGATACAATTCTCGAAATTTGTAAAACCAAATTTGATATTTTATTCTTCCAAGAAATGCCTTGGAATTTCATAAGACACGCACCGTCCACCACTAGTATGGAGGGCGATGAGGTTATTGGTGCACCAAAGCATCCCGACTGGCTGCAAATGGTGCACATTAAGGAAGGGGAGGTTCCCCGCGTGATCGCCTACGTTTCGACTAGGTTATCCCGCTATCGTCCCGCTATGCGTCGCGACATCGTCGACCATCGTGACATCCTTGTCCTCTCCCTCTTCAGCGGGGGTGAGGTTCTTAATCTGATGAACGTCTACTCTGACGATCAACACACAGCCATTGAGCACTTAGCTGCTCGTGTGCATTCTTTACCACCTTTCATTTACATGGCTGGTGACTTTAACTGCGTGTCGACGACTTGGGATGACTATGAGCATGGTGAGTCGTCGACGGCAATATCACTGCGGGATACCGCATCTCAGATCGGCCTCGAGTGGGCACGACCTTCTAACCATGGACACCGACGCGGATCAGTCCTAATCCAAACCAGAGATCCAACGTCTTGGATCTTGTATTCTTAGCTCCATCTGAGATCTTAATCTCAATGCCCAGATTGGAGCACGATCTCCAGGGTCCGTCAGATCATGTCCTGATCTGCACAGATCTTGATATCGGTCCCGAACCGCCCGGATCTGGGCGACGGACAATTAAACCCGGAAGCGAGGCTGAGAAGTCTTTCATTTCGGATATTCTCCGGGATCTTGCGGCTATTCCTGTCGCAGCCCCGGCAACCAAGGAAGGCGTTGAAGCTTTAGCCGATGCTATCGCGACAGCGTTCTCGGACGCGTGGCTTGCCCACTCGACCGAGTCCAAACCTACCAAGCGCTCCAAGTCCTGGTGGACGGATGAGTGCTCGGAGACATTCGGAGTATATCAGCTGAGCCGCTCGCTCGCTGATTACAACAAGTTTAAGAAGGCGTGTAAGGACGCCAAACGTGACTTCTTCGACGAACGCATCGCGGAGATTGCTACTTCTCGCAAGCGCCCGTGGGACCTAATGGAATGGGTCAAACAGCGCAAGCTACCACCCTGTGAGGCTATTCGCAATGGCGACCAGCCTTGTCATGATATGGACAACCTCTGGGACGCCCTCCACGGCACTTACAACTCGGCCTCTGGTCGCGAGTACGATGCCTCAGTCTTAGACGAGCTTCCCGACGAGCCGGTCCGCGAGTGGGCTGACTTCTCGGAGCATGAGTTGTTGAGTGCCCTTAAGGGGTGCTCCAACTCCTCTGCACCAGGACCGGACCATGTTACATGGGTCCACCTAAAGGAGCTGCTCAAGGACAAACACGTCCTTGCGCTCTTCATCGTGTTGGCTAATGCTTGCCTTCAGGTGGGTCATTGGCCACGTATATTCAAGGAGTCGCTATCGGTTATCGTTCCGAAGCCGAACAAGCCCTCCTATTCTGTGCCGAAGGCCTTCAGGCCAATCGTACTCCTCATCACTTTCGGTAAACTTATCGAAAAGATGATTGCCAACAGGATACAGTTTGACGCCGTCAAGCATGATATCTTCCATCCCAACCAACTTGGCGGTATCCGCCAGAGGTCAACTGAGGACGCTGGATTGATTCTAACCCATCTTGTGCGAGCGGGGTGGGTTAAGGGTCTCCAGACTAGCGCGCTGGCTTTTGACATCGCGCAGTTCTTCCCTTCTATCAACCATGAGATGTTCATGGCTGTACTTCGCAAGCAAGGGTTTTCGCCGGTTCTGGTGGAGTTCTTTGCCTCTTACCTTGTAGGTCGTTCCACAGTCTACTGTTGGAACACCTTTCAATCCGACTCACGGTCTGCGGACGTGGGTGTCGGGCAGGGCTCTGCTCTCTCGCCTGTTATCTCTGGGCTGTTCATTGCGCCGGTAATGAAGCTCTTCTATATCAAGGCGGCGCCACTCAACATGACGCTGCTTTCCTTTGTGGATGATGGGACCATTCTGGCCCAATCCAAACAACTTGATGATAATAATGTGGGCCTGCGTAAGGCCTACAATCTTCGCGCTCGTTCTTGAACACGACAAGACCGAGCTGTTTCATTTCTCGCGTCGACGAGATGCCTACAATCCGTCGCTGGATTTGGGGTACGCCCCACATACCGGCGCTACACCCTTGAAGCCCAAGACCTATTGGAGGTACTTGGGCTTCTACTTTGACCGCGGGCTCACCTTCCATGAGCACGTTCGTTACTATGCCACCAAGGCGTTCACCACCGTGCAGGCCATGCGCATGCTCGGGAACTCTACTAGAGGTCTCTCGCCTAAACAGCGCCGCCTCTTATATCGGTCGTGTGTGGTCCCCATTGCCACATATGGCTATCGTCTCTGGTATTTCGACGGCGCCCGCTACAAGGGTGCGATGAACCAGTTGAAACGGATGCAGCGTAAAGCTGCTCTATGGATCACGGGTGCCTTCCGCACCTCACCTACAGGCGGTCTTGAGGCTCTAGCGGGCCTCATTCCTGTCCATCTTATGCTGAAGAAGCTGGCAACGCGTGCAGTGTATCGTGTCGCCACCCTCTCAGACACTCACCCCCTTCGCTCTATGATGGGCGAGGGACTTCTCAAGCGAGCTGCACCACACGCTCGCTCTGCCGCCTTGATGACCCCAGCCATGCGGGGGAAAGTCAAGAGCACTGTCATGGAAGTGGACGAGCGCGTCCACACCTTAACTGAGAGCTTCGAGCCCTTTGCGCCCGAAGCTCGTCCAGGCGACCGGTTACTGGACCGCTATGCGGACCGTCTCCATTTTGACGAGCGTGATCCTGGCCAGGATAGGCGCCCATATCTAGACGAGCTCATTGCGAAAGCAAGGGCCGACCCACTAACAGTACTGGCTGCAACTGATGGCTCTGTCCCTCAGTCCAACCAGTACCAGGCGGCTTCGGCTGCTATAATCTACAAGGGACATCGCGAGCTCGAAAGGACCCGCTATGTCTCTGGCAGAGTTACCGCCCCAGATGCGGAACTCAATGCCATCTCGTGTGCAGTGCGCCTTGCTGTCAAGCAGGCAAACTGCCAACATATTATGGTCTTCACTGACTCTATGGGCTCAGCCCATAGAGCGGTTGACCCCGGCGTGCATTCTGGTCAGGCTTTTAGTCTGTCAGTATGTCGCGCTCTTCAAGAGTGGTTTGAGGCGGATGATCTCCGTCGCATTACCTTCGTCTACGTCCCTTCCGCTATGCGGTGGGATATCCATGGTGAAGCACACAAGTACGTCACCGAACTCAAAGTCAGGGTTGGGCGTCGCAAGACGGACAACTCCATAGACGCGCTTCGCTCTCGAGCTGCGCACTCAGTCTTGGATTCGTGGAGTTCCACTTTCCAAAATCCAACCTACCGAGGCTCTGAATTCTTAGAGCTTCAACAGCCTGACGGGCGGCCGCTACAGCCATCGTACCTCAATGGGGGACCTTGGCTCTCAACCTTCGGACACAGTATTACTGAGTTCGCTCGCGTTTGCCGGTGCATAACTGGCCACGCGCCCATTGGAGCGTATTACCGTCGCTTCAAGATCAACGAGCCTCATGGCTGCACTTGCGGGGCTGCTTTGCAGTCCCGCCAGCATATCCTCTTTCGCTGTCGCGACAGATATTCTGTACACTATCCCCGCTTTCTCGGGGATATTGCATCGTTTATGAAGTACAACCCTACGGCGTTTGGCTTCAACCGGGACCTGTCAGGTGTCGGATAATCGTGGTGGGCGGGGTTGTTCCTCCTTTCGGGGGATTTATGGTGAATTGACACCACCGAGCTCTAGGGTTCGAAGACCTGCGCCTACCGCTATTTCTTTGCGCTTGCGGCCGCTATTGTAGCGGGTTGCGGTGCCGCTAATTTTCTGCGTCTGGTTTCGGGCAGGCGCTTCTCTGGCTTGTCGGCCTCAAGACACTCCGCCACCTCCCGGGTGGTGCTTTTCTTATCTCATTTGCGCTGCATGGCCTCCGAACAGCGATCGACGACTTTGGGGCGTAGCGGAACCTCGATGGTTTCCTCCCCTTATCCTGATGCACCGTTTTCGCGAGGTGGGTTGCCCTCTGGGGAGTTTCGGCGTTTGAGCCCAAAGGGTCTTGGTTGGGGGGGCGGTCGTCCTTTAGTGGTTTACTTAGTAACCAGGCTGCGTAGCGTACGTGTTTGTAGATAGCAAGCGGGCTGCCGTCGAGCACCGCTATATAAATTGTTGATCAAAAAAAAAAAAAAAAAAAAAAAAAAAAAAAAAACATCCAACCCTGACTTTGAGTTCAGTGACGTATTTGTGTGCCTCACCATGGATATCCCACCACAAAGCAGATGGAACGTAGACAAAGGTGATGTGGTGGAGATCATCCACCTGAAACCACTCTTGGAGAGCGCAACAGACTGACAGACTGAAAGCCTGACCAGAGTGTATGGATGGGTCTACTGCTCTGTGGGCTGAGCCCATAGAGTCAGTGAAGACCATGATATGTTGGCAGTTTGCCTGCTTGACAGCAAGGCGCACTGCGCACAGGATGGCATTGAGCTCCGCATCTGGGGTGGTGACTCTGCCAGAGACATAGTGAGTTCTCTTGAGCTCACAATGTCCCTTGTAGATGATGGCAGCCGAAGCTGCCTGATACTGGTTGGACTGAGGAACAGAGCCATCAGTTGCAGCCAGTACTGTTAGAGGATCGGCCCTCGTGTTAGCGATGAGCCCGTCAAGATATGGGTGCCTATCCTGAGTAGGATCGCGCTCATCAAAACAGAGACGGTCCGCATAGCGGTCCAGTAACCGGTCACCAGGGCAAGCTTCAGGTGCAAAAGGCTCGAAGCTCTCAGTTAAGGCATGGATGTGTTCATCCACCTCCATGACAGTGCTCTTGACCTTCCCCTGCATAGCTGGGGTCATCAAAGCAGCAGAGCGAGCATGGGGTTCAGCCCGTTTGAGGAGTCTCTTGCCCATCATGGAGCGAAGAGGGTGGGTGTCTGAGAGGGTGGCAATGCAATACACTGCGCACGTTGCCAACTTCTTCAGCATAAGATGGACGGGGATGAGACCTGCCAAAGCCTCAAGACCGCCTGTAGGCGAGGTGCGGAAGGCACCTGTAATCCATAGAGCAGCTTGCTGCTGCATCCGTTTGAGCTGGTTCATGGCACCCTTGTTGTGGGTGCCATCAAAGTACCAGAGACGATAACCGTACATGGCAATAGGAACCACACACAATCTATAAAGGAGGCATTGCTACTTAGGTGAAAGTCCTCTGGTAGAGTTCCTGAGCATGCACATGGCCTGCACGGTGGTGAATGCCTTGGTGGCATAGTAGCAAATGTGCTCATGGAATGTGAGCCCACGATCGAAGTAGAAGCCCAGGTACCTCCAATAGGTCTTGGGGTTCAGAGGTGTAGTGCCGGTATGTGAGGCGTACCCCAAATCCAACAAGGGATTATAGGCGTCTCGCTGACGCGAAAAGTGGAACAACTCGGTCTTGTCATGTTCAAGAACGAGTGCAAAGGCAACAAAGAGAAGGTAGATGATTTTGTAGGCCTTACACAGGCCCACATTATTATCATCGAGTTGTTTGGATTGGGCCAAGATAGTCCCATCATCCACAAAGGAGAGTAGCGTTGTATTGAGCAGTGCTGCCTTGATGTAGAAGAGCTTCATTACTGGAGCAATGAAAAGCCCTGAAATAACAGGCGAGAGGGCTGAGCCCTGCTTGACACCCACGTCCGCAGACCGTGAGTTGGATTGAAAGGTGTTCCAACAGTAAACTGTGGAGCAACCAACGAGATAAGAGGCAAAGAAATCCACCAAGATTGGGGAGAAACCTTGCTTGCATAGAACAGCCATGAACATCTCATGGTTGATAGACAGGAAGAACTGCGTGATGTCAAGGGCCAGCGCACTAGTCTGGAGACCCTTAACCCACCCCGCTCACACAAGATGAGTCAGGATCAATCCAGCATCCTCCATTGACCGTTGGTGGGTGCCGCCAAGCTGGTTTGGATGAAAGATATCATGCTTGACGGTGTCAAACTGTATCCTATTAGCTATCATCTTTTCGATAAGTTTACCAAAAGTGATGAGGAGTACGATAGGCCTGAAAGCCTTTGGGACTGCATAGGAGGGCTTGTTTGGCTTTGGTACGATAACCGACAGCGACTCCTTGAATATGCGAGGCCAATGCCCAACCTGAAGGCAGGCATTGGCCAACACGATGAAGAGCGTGAGGACATGTTTATCCTTGAGCAGCTCCTTTAGGTGGACCCATGTGACATGGTCCGGTCCTGGTGCAGAGGAGTTGGAGCACCCCTTAAGGGCACTCAACAACTCATGCTCTGAAAAGTCAGCCCACTCACGGACTGGCTCGTCAGGAAGCTCGTTTAAAACTGAGGTGTCATACTCACAACCAGAGGCTGAGTTGTACGTGCCGTGAAGGGTGTCCCAAAGGTCATCCATATCATGACAAGGCTGGTCGCCATTGCGAATAGCCTCACAGGGTGGCAGCTTGCATTGTTTGACCCACTCCATCACGTCCCATGGGCGCTTCCGAGAAGTAGCGATTTCTGCGATGCGTTCATTGAAGAAATCATGCTTGGCATCTTTACACACCTTCTTGAATTTGTTGTAATCAGCTAGCGAGTGGCTAAGCTGATATACTCCAAATGTCTCTGAGCACTCGTCTGTCCACCAGGACTTGGAGCACTTGGTATGCTTGGACTTGGTCAAGTGGGCAAGCCATGCGTCCGAGAATGCCATCGCAATAGCATCAGCTAAAGTGTCAACGCCTTCCTTGGTAGCCGGGGCTGCGACAGGAATAGCTGCAAGATCCCAGAGAATGTCCGAAATGAAAGACTTCTCAGCCTCACTTCCAGGTTTAATTGTCTGTCACCCAGATCTGGGCGGTTCGAGACTGATATCAAGATCTGTACAGATTGGGAGATCTGACAGACCCTGGAGATCGTGCTCCAATCTGGGCATCAAGATTAAGGTCTCAGATGGGGCTAAGAATACAAGATCTAAGACATTGGACCTCTGATTTGGATTGGGACTGATCCTCATGGGTCCGTGATTAGAAGGTTGTGCCCACTTGAGGCTGATCTGAGATGCGGTGTCCCACAGGGATATTGCCGTCGACAACTCGCCATGCTCATAGTCATCCCAAGTCGTCAATACGCAGTTAAAGTTGCCTGCTATATAGATGAAAGGCAGTAGAGAATGCACACAAGCAGCTAGGTACTCAATGGCTGTGTGTTGATCATCAGAATAGACGTTCATTAGATTAAGAACCTCACCCCCACTGAAGAGGGAGAGGACGAGTATGTCGCGGTGGTCAACAATGTCACAATGCATGGCAGGACGATAGCGGGAAAGCCTAGTCAAAACATAGGTGATCATGCAAGGGACTTCTCCCTCCTTAATACACACCATTTGCAACCAATCAGGGTGCTTCGGTGCACCAATAACCTCATCACCTTCCATGGTAGTGGTGGACGGTGCGTGTCTTATGAAATTCCAAGAGGTTTCTTGGAAAAATAAAATATCAAATTTTGTTTTACAAAGTTCCAGAAGAGTATCTATGTGCACATAGGTATGACGGACATTCTGACAATAAATACGTAGCCTGCTATTTAGATCCTGAGGGTCGCCCTTCATTAGTCTAGGTTTGGGGGTTAGTAAGTTGGTGGCGAGCGGCGTGCTCATGTACCTGACGATACTTGGCCATGATCCACTCACAGATGTAGCGATGTGCCCAGAACTTGCATGAGGCCGAGTTGGCGGTGTGGTCCTTGTAGCAGTTGACACAGTGGCCCTTGTGGGGGCAGGGCTGGTTGCGAGGGGTGGGCAGCACAGGGGGCTTCACTTTCACGTTCCCCTTGCAACATCCCGCATGTTGACAATGTTCCTTCTGCTCGTGTGGACCCGAGCAGATAGGGCAGCTAAGCTGCTTCGCCTTGCAGGCAATGGTAGGGTGGTCCCACTTCCAGCAGCACTGGCAGAGCAGGACCCCAGTGTGTCTTGCAGCAGGCCTGATTGCGCAGGACCGCCCAGTGAGGAAGATTGGTTGGCCAAGGGCCTTCTTGGCACGGGTTCCCTGCTGGGAGTCCCAGATGTTGCAGTAGACGGTGCACAATGTCGAGTGCGCCGAGTTGCGATCGATCCGAGGCTTGGTGCTCAGATATGCGAAGACCTCAGCATGAACCGAGGTACGGAGGGCCTTTTCAAGTGCCTCCTGGGTGATCTTCAGCCCTTTGGGGTCGAAGTAGGGAATGTCGAGGATCTTTATAAAAGATGTCGACGATGGGAGCGCAACCTCGAATGGGGTACCCGTTGGGAGGCTTTCGTGGATGAAGTTGCACAGTATGTCTAGATCAGACGGGCTGGCAATGGCAGGGGTGACCAACGACAAGCCGTCATAGGCACAGACGATGGAGGTGACCTTCAACATGGAGCAGCCATCCCTGAGGTACCCGTTGGCCACGCGAATGGCCAATTCGGTGAAGAATTTCGTGAGGTTGGGAGGGGTACCCCCGAACGACACGAGAACCTGCTTCCGGGTAGGGCCCTCAGAAGTAAAGGAGGGGATGGATTGATGAGGAGAGGTCTTCATCAGCCCTGTCAGGAATGAGGGTGGAGGAGAAGGCCTGCGATGCTGCGGTCCCAAACCAAGAGGCGGGGGAGGCATCGGAGCAGCCTGTCATGCAATCCCTGCCCATGTCATTGGACGGGGCTTGGGTTTGGTAGCGCGATTGATCAGCGGAGGCGGACCAGGGCAAGAGTAGGCCACCTTACTCTTATGGGCTGTTCCTTACTCTGGTGGAACAGTTTAACCCTCTTGTATGTTTCATAGTCCTTGGATTGTGACACTACATTTGCTTTTGTAATGCCAGATCACCCTCGTATCGCATTTAGCACCTCTGCTTCTTTACTCGTTTGACTATGCTGGCTTCTTGTGCTTAGATGGTCCTGTAGACAAATTAATAGACCGTGCTTTGGTTTACGACTCTGTGGTGTATGGGTATACTAGTCTTTGGGTAATAGCACGTTAAGCACCATTGATCATCATGTCCCTAGTCGAAGGTGACACTTATAACAATTACTGGCTGCATGTTCTTATTGTGACTAGGTGCTATCGTGTCAGTCCAAGTCTTTGACCGTTGTGAGTAACAGCTCATATTATCTAAGTGGGTGGTACTCTAACCAAGGGAGGCCGCAAAATTGTAGGCTTGTACAGAGCATGGCTCCTCAACGCCTTGCTGTTAAGCAGGCAAACTGTCAACATATTATGGGCTTTACCGACTCCATGGGCTCAGCCCATCGAGCAGTAGACCTGTCCATGCATTTGGGTCAGGCTTTTAGTCTGTCAGTCTGTTGCGTCCTTCAAGAGTGGTTTGAGGCGGATGATCTCTGCCACATCACCTTTGTTTATGTTCCATCCACCCTGTGCTGGGACATCCATGGTGAGGCACACAAGTACATCATCGAACTTAAAGTCAGGGTTGGATGTTGCAAGATGGACAATTCTATAGACACGCTTTGCTCTCGAGCAACGCACTCAGTCCTGGATTCGTGGAGTTCCACTTTCCAGGATCCAACCTACCAGGGCTCTGAATTTTTAGAGCTTCAGCGGCCTGATGGGCGGCCGATTCAGCCATCGTACCTCAACAGGGGACCTTGGCTCTCATATTTCGGACACAGCATCACTGAGTTCGCTCGCATCTGCCAGTGTATAACTGGCCATGCGCCCATTGGAGCGTACTATTGTTGCTTCAAGATCAATGAGCCTCACGACTGCACTTGCGGGGCTGCTACTCAGTCTCACTAGCATGTCCTCTTTTGCTGCCGCAATAGATATTCTATGCACTACCCCCATTTTCTCAGGGACATTGCATCCTTTATGAAGTACAACCCTACAGTGTTTGGCTTCAACTGGGACCCCTTGGGTGTCAGATAATCACTGCAGGCGGGGTTGTTCCTCCTTTTGGAGGATTTCCTGCACCTGCGACAACTCATTCGTGCAGGCGGTCAACCTCTTTTGGTTGATTGCAGCACCACTAACTTTCTGCGTCTGGTTTTGGGCAGGCACACCTCTGGCTTGTCAGCCTCAAGACACCCTGCCACCTCCTGGGTGGTGCTTTTCTTATCTCATTTGTGCTGCATGGCCTCTGAACAGCGATCAACAACTTTGGGGCATAGCGAGACCTCAATGGTTTCCTCCCCTTATCCCGATGCACCGTTTTTGCGAGGTGGGTTGCCCTCTGGGAAGTTTTGACATATACACCAGAAGGGTCTTGGTTGGGGGGGCAGTTGTCTTTAGGTAGTTTACTTAGTACCCAGGCCATGTAGCGTACGTGTCAGTGCTCTTGCCTTTCCCCCACATAGCTGGGGTCATCAAGGCAGCAGAGTGGGTCAGCATGAGGTGGACGGGGATGAGACTGGCTAGAGCCTCCAGACTGCCTGTGGGAGAGGTGCGGAAGGCACCTGTAATCCATAGAGCAGCTTTTCACTGCATCCGTTTGAGCTGGCTGATGGTGCCTTTGTTGCAGGCACCATCAAAGTACCAGAGACAATAACTGTATGTGGCAATGGGAACCACGCACAATCTATAAAGGAGGCGTCGCTGTCTAGGCGAGAGACCTCTGGTAGAGTTTCTGAGCATGCACATGGCCTGCATAGTGGTAAATGCATGGAAGGTGAGCCCATGGTCAAAATAGAAGCCCAGGTACCTCCAATAGGTCTTGGGCTTCAAAGGTGTAGTGCCTGTATGTGGGGCATACCCCAGATCAAGCAAAGGATTATAGGCATCACGTCAACATGAAAAATGAAACAACTCGGTCTTGTCATGTTCAAGGACGAGTGTGAATGCAACAAATAAAAGGTAGATAATTTTGTAGGCCTTATGCAGGCCCACATTATTATCATCAAGGTCTTTGGACTGGGCTAATATGGTCCCATCATCCACAAAGGAGAGTAGCATCATGTTAAGCAGCGCTGCTTTGATACAAAAGAGCTTCATTACTGGAGCAATGAAAAGCCCTGAAATAACAGACGAGAGCACTGAGCCCTGCCCGATGCCCATGTCCACAGACTGTGAGTCGGATTGGAAGGAGTTCCAACAGTAAACTGTGGAACAGCCAACTAGATATCAAGCAAAGAAATCCACCAAGATTGGCAAAAACCCTTGCTTGCGTAGGACAGCCATGAACATTTCATGGTTGATAGAGGGGAAGAACTGCGCAATGTCAAAAGCCAGTGCACTAGTCTGGAGACCCTTAACCCACCCTGCTTGCATGAGATGAGTCAGAATCAATCCAGCATCCTCAGTAGACCTCTGGTGGATACTGCCAAGTTGGTTTGGATGAAAGATATCATGCTTGACCGCGTCAAACTGTATCCTGTTGGCGATCATCTTTTTGATAAGTTTCACCATGCAGGCCATGCGCATGCTCAGAAACTCTACCAGAGGTCTCTTGTCTAGACAGCAGTGCCTCTCTATAGATCGTGCATGGTTCCTATTGCCACATACGGTTATCGTCTCTGGTTCTTTGATGGTGCCTGCAACAAAGGCGCCATCAGCCAGCTCAAATGGATGCAGCAAAAAGCTGCTCTATGGATTACAGGTGCCTTCCGCACCTCCCCCACAGGTGGTCTTGAGGCCCTAGCAGGTATCATCTCTGTCCATCTCATGCTGAAGAAGTTGGTGTTAGAATTAGTGAGAAATCACTTCATGGACTCTAAATGGACACTTCATGGACATTGTAGATAGATTATTTTTCGTTAATATCTTGTTGCACACATTGATTCTCATTGTGTTTGTTCCATAGTTAAACTCTTCTCGTCGTCCTGAACTCGCACATACTCATTTCGTCCATCAGGAAAAACCTTTTTGTCTTAGGTTGTCCTTAAGATCAGCAGCCAAGTCAGGTGCACCTCAGGGCACTTGTGCTGTCTTGTGGTTGTCCTGAGATGTCTTCACTGTCTTGACCTCCTTCTGGAGACATTCTGGATTCTCCTCATTGGTAAATAAAATAAAATTTACACCGTCTGGGCCCATATAAATCATTTTCTCATGATCTTCTAGCTAGGACACATGGGAAAAGAAATGTATGCCTGACATTTATTTAGATGGACAGTACTTGAGTTTCAATAGCAAACATCCTCCAAAACCAATAGAAAGGTATTTCAGAATATTCTTATATTCATTCTTCAAGTGCTTCATTGAATAAAAAGACACCAGGTATATTATGTGTGCCTCTGTAGAGGGGGAGTAGCACAGCAAGATTTGCTTATAGCAGAGGCAAAACAGACTCTCTTACTCTAATTTTTTCCGTACATGTAGATACATAGATAGTGCATGTAGTCTCAAATTTTTATAAAGATACGTCCAATATCACCAGAGATATAGATGTACGCATTTTTCTTATTGAGCAAAGTCAAGAACATCACATTCTGTATGCAAATGGTGACCAAACTGGCTGAAACTTGGTACACATTATCATATGTATGTATACTATTGGGTCCCAGAGTATAAATGCAATGGACCTAGCAATTATGGAGATATTGCATGAAGAAACCCAGAAACTGCAAACTCTTTACAGGAATATTGTTGATTACATAGAAAGAATGCATTTATAAGAAAAATAAATGCCATAACCAGAATGAGCATAAAATCCAGTTCTGACAGTATATAATATGTGGTAATTGGACCTGATAAAGATGTGCTACTACACATAGCACCAACTTTGGGTGATTTATCACTGAGGCATACTGCGCACTCAGCACAGCCACTGCTGAGTGCTTTGTCAAGGGTCAAGATAACTTTTCTTGGCAACCGCTCAATCAGTCGCCACAAAAATTTGCACACTTTTAGACACTCTATATGCGCATGCACTCATAACATTTTAGACAGTTTACTGAAGAAATGATCAAGATATTAGGGTTACACTTTCTCAAAAACCCGCATTGAGATACCTCAACCAATAATAGTGCAAAAGACTCATAAGCCAGGATCCATTAACAAGAATATCAAAGGTACTTGCACACCAAATTTCAGTTTGATAGCTCAAGCAGTTGTTGAGATATTGAGTCTTCAACTTTGGGTAAAGTATGCACACTGCACCTCAGCACAGCCACTGGTGAGCGCTTTTCCAAGGGTTAAGATGGAATTCCTCTGCAACCATTCAACCAATCTTTATGAAAATTTACACACTGCTAGATACATTATATGCAAAGGTGACTGCAAATTTTCAAACATTTTTGCATCAAATCACCTGAGATATTGGGGTTGCGCTTTTTCAAAAGCCCACATTTGAATATCTCAACAAATAATAAAGAAAAAGCTTCATGAGCTGAGATCCATTAACAATGATATCAGAGGTACTTGCACACAAAATTTCAGCTGTATAGCTTAAACAGTTGCTGAGATATTGAGCCTACACTGTGAGGAAGTGCATCATTTTCAAGCTCTAAGTCATTTCAAACTCAGACAGGCTGAGCACTCATACAGGAGGTGGAAGCTGAATATCTCAAGAACCGCTACAGCTATGGACATAAAAATCTACATGCATCTACAATACATACTGTTGATAATTTCTGCAAAGTTATATGTTATTTGATCAAATATTTACTGAGATATTAGAGGTACACCTTTTCAAAACTGTGCAGACATAATATAAAAATTTGAAATTTTGGAATATCATTCATTCATATCATGAGATCACTGGTACAAATTTTGAGAAGCATAGCTGATATATTTCTTGCAGTATTCAGCTGGGGAGAATGGTCACATCTGTGCCATGCATGGCGCAGAATCGTCACAACGAGTTGTGCACTGCACAATCAACAAAGTCACATGATGGTCATGGCGCATTGTTTGGTTGTCATAGCTCCACCAAACAAAGTGTGCAGCAAGTGTCGTCAAACCTGCCAGCACTGTACTTGCGCAACTCTTCTCATTTCCTTACACTTTCAAACGTGCTATCTTCTCTTTTCAAAGGTATGTTTTCTATCACACATTTCCCCTTCACAGTGCATCTCTTCTGCCAGCGCATACTCATGTAGCCCCCAGTTCATGGTCTCAACAACAGGTATGTACTTATTTCTTTTTCATTCAATGACTAGATTCTCATGAACATATTCCAGAACATGGTGCAGGACAGGAAGAGAATTGAAGGAGTGGCAACACAAGAATTGGGAAAGTGAGAATTTGGGAGTCAGGTGGAAGTGCGATGGGTACCAGAGTGAGTCATAATATTTTTTTTTGTCTTCATCCTACTGACTATATATCTAGATTATGATATCTTCTTTCTATGCTATGGGTGAGTGCATATTTCAGTAGAAGGGGATTGTATTATAGCATACAGTACTAGTATTAGTGTAATCTGTTCAATGTACATTAGATAGAGAAATATAATTGAGTCTTCTTTCAATATATGAAGTGTAAACAGAATAAAAAAATAAAACATCCTGAATAACATCTACTGTAGTCTTAGTCTGTCCTCTGAGCATCTTGAGGACACCCTGAGGACACTCTAAGATTTTACATCTAGGAACATAGGCTTCAGGAGCCTTACTGTCCTTGGTGTCTTAGATGTCTCAGATTGTCCTCAAGACAACCTAAGACAAAAAGGTTTTTCCTGATGTCTCTTCAGTAGATACTTTGTTAGACTTGTTTCTCGCTCTAGGCATGGTTTCTGGATGTCCGCCCATGCTTGCAGGCACCAGTGCACAACTTGACCAAACAGGTCAGATTTCCTACCATGTCCTGGAAGCAGGTACACTATGATTGAACTGTTGGCTTAAACTCACAATACACTTGATTATTCACCTTATCATTGGTTACTGTGCTTATTGTGATTGTTGTGTGATCAGTGTATCACTATCCACTTCGTTGCATAAGTTTAATAGGTTATGGGCCCTGGCTTCTAACTTGTGCAAGTGCTGATTGATACCTGTGTTTGCTTGTTACTTGAAATTGTTGGCTTGCTGTTTAACAGCATTTGAAACTTGTTGAAAACTCATCAAACCTGTTTGGAATTGTTTGGAATTGCAAAGATGTCTTCAGACACTTTGGCAAAAATCGCCCTTGTCTAAATCAAACTACAACCAGTGGTGTGGGGAGATGGGACACCTCTCTCTCAAATGCCCACTTGTAAACAAGCATAAACAACCTGCTCAACATCTCATTTGTTGTCCAACGCTTTATCTACTTGCCAGACCTCTCCACCTGATCATTTGTACCACACCAGCAACACATGTCCAACCTCCCACTGAGAGGCCAGGGCACAAGATCCCCTGGGATTTGTCACAGGGGCTCGGGCTCTGCCTCACCAGCACCCCCTCCAACATTGGCAGGCAGCTCATCATCCCTGGGCGGTGGCGCCTCGCCAATCTCACCAGACCCTACCTTGACTAGGGCCACATACTCAATGATCGTCCTGGCTCAATCCTGCCACATGTTGCCCCACCGCAGGTCCCGTTCCACCACAGGTTCCATCCATTCATCCAAATATGAGTCTGACTCAGGGACAGCTCAACCACACCAGGAGATGGAGGTGGAGGGCATTCAGAAAGGCGAGGAGGTCACGAGGGACCCCTCCGTCGACCAACTCTTGGGTCAATACCCCTTGAAGTTCTGAGACGCTGTTGAGGATCTTTCAGGGGATCCTTAGAGTCAGGTGTTTTTTTTTGATCAACAATTTATATAGTGGTGCTCGATGGCAGGCCGCTCGCTATCTACAGACACGTATGCTACACAGCCTGGTTACTGGGTTAAGCACTAAAGCATGACCACCCCCCCAACCAAGACCCTTCTGGTGTATACGCTGAAGCTTTCCGGAGGGCAACCCACCTCGCAAAAACGGTGCATCAGGATAAGGGGAAGAAACCATCGAGGTTCCGCTACGCCCCAAAGTTGTCGATTGCTGTTCAGGGGCCACGCAGTGCAAATGAAATAAGAAAAGCACCACCTGGAAGGTGGCAGGGTGTCTTGAGGCCAACAAGCCAGAGATGCGCCTGCCCGAAACCAGACGCAGAAAGTTAGCGGTGCTGCAATCAGCTAAGATAGGTTGACCGCCTGCACAAAAGAGTTGTTGTGGGTGAAGGTCTTCGAACCCTAGAGCTCGGTGGTGTCAATTCACCATAAATCCTCCAAAAGGAGGAACAACCCTGCCTGCAGCGATTATCCAACACCTGAAGGGTCTCGGTTGAAGCCAAACACGGTAGGGTTGTGCTTCAAAAATGATGCAATATCCCCAAGAAAACAGGGATAGTGTACAGAGTATCTATCGTGGCAGCGAAAGAGAACATGCTGACAGGACTGCAAAGCAGCCCCACAAGTGCAGCCATGAGGCTCATTGATCTTGAAGCAATGGTAGTACACTCCAATGGGCGTGTGGCCAGTTATGCACTGGCAGACACGAGCGAACTCAGTGATACTGTGTCCGAATGTTGAAAGCCAAGGTCCCCCATTGAGGTACGATGGCTGGATCGGCCGCCCGTCAGGCCGTTGAAGCTCTAAAAAATCAGAGCCCCGGTAAGTTGGATCCTGGAAAGTGGAACTCCACAAGTCCAGAACTGAGTGTGTGGCTCAAGAGCGCAACGCGTCTTTGGAGTTGTCCGTCTTATGACATCCAACCCTGACTTTGAGCTCAGTGATGTACTGGTGTGCCTCACCATGAATGTCCCACTGCAAAGCAGATGCAACATAGACAAAGGTGATGCAGCGGAGGTCATCTGCCTCAAACCACTCTTGGAGAGCGCAACAGACTGACAGACTGAAAGCCTGACCAGAATGTACAGAGGGGTCTACCGCTCTGTGGGCTGAGCCCATAGAGTCAGTAAAAACCATAATATGCTGGCAGTTTGCCTGCTTGACAGCAAGGCGCACTGTGCATGCAATGGCATTGAGTTCTGCATCAGGGGCAGTAACTCTGCCAGAGACATAGCGAGTCCTTTCAAGCTCACAATGTCCCTTGTAGATAATGGCAGCCGAAGTTGCCTGATACTGGTTTGACTGAGGGACAGAGCCATCAGCCGCAGCCAGTACTGTTAGTGGGTCGGCCCTCGCATTTGCGATGAGCTCATCGAGATATGGGCACCTATCCTGAGTAGGATCACAATCATCAAAGCAGAGACGGTCTGCATAGCGGTCCAGTAACCGATCACTGGGGTGAGCTTTAGGCGCAAAGGGCTCAAAGCTCTCAGTTAAGATGTGGACACGCTCATCCACCTCCATGACAGTACTCTTGACTTTCCCTCACATAGCTGGGGTCATCAAGGTGGCAGAGCGGGTGTGGGGGTCAGCCCGCTTGAGGAGCCTCTTGCCCAGGATCTTGAGGTGTTGACCACATCCATTGCAAAAGCCACAGATTGGGTTCTGCAGGCTGCACACCATGATCCGCTCACCATCGATGGGAGCGATGCCTTTGTGGCCCAGATGACATCCTTCATGAACACCATCATGGTCACCGATTTCAGCAGGATTTGCACCCTGCACGACCTCAACCACTTCTCTCTTGCCTCCCTTCTTGAGGCTGAGACGTCCTCCAAGGATGAGCCGACTACCCCTCTGGCTTCTGTCTTCTGACCTCCTCATCCTGCTGCCTGTGGGCCACTCAACAAGGGTGTTGATGTAGGGGCTCTGCCCAATGTCCTCATGCAGGCCTTGGATGATCTTGGCTGTCCAGCCTCCCCTCCTCGCCACTTCAGTTACCCTCTGGACCATTGGACTGTCTAATATAATAAACTACTTAAATCTGTTGGACTGCCTCCCATATAGATGGTTATAGATAGTTTAACTATAGATCTATAACTATATTAGTGCAACTATAGTCTGCAACTATATGCCTATATTGCTGACTATATGACTATACTAGTTCAACTATAGTTATTTTTCATACTAAAGACAACTATATATATATGTCACAGAGTGTCTGAGGTCTTTTTTCAAACTATATAACTATACTATTTCAACTATATGTAGATATCACAGAGTGTTTGGGGTCTTTCTTTAAACTATGTAACTATATGTTTATATAATAAATTAATGCTTTTAAAGCAGACTACTATATATAGAAAGATTACATATAAAGTAATATGCTACATTTAGTAGTTAATTTAATTTGGAAAATAACTATATAGAGGAAGTAACTATATATAGAAAGTAACTAGATATAGTAATATACTTTATATAGAAATATTCTGCATATGGTATATATCTATATAAAGAGTATTTCCTTATTTAGAATATTTCTTTATTTAGTAATTTTCTATATTTGGAAAAAGACTATTTTAGAAAATATTGACAAGTCTTTTATTAATAAGATAAATCTATTGAATATTCTACTTGCTATAAGAAAAACTATTGTTTTCTTTTACTCCGCTTGAAGTAAGTTATGAGAACAGTAGAACAAAAATGCATCTCAGTATCCTCAAGTATCAGGAAATAAAATAAGTGTCTGACAGTATAATGATAATGATTTAGCCTATAGCTCAGATAACTAGCTTCTTATATTCAAGATCCAGTAATTGATTATATGTATTTTATTAAACTGCTCATAAATAATAATATCCAAGAAACAAGTTTTGAAATCAGTATAGCAAGTCACCAGAGCTAACTCGGACTATTTAAAATAACTGACTCCAGCAAAACACTTTTGATATAGACAGTTAGCTGGAAAATGTATGACTGTCCTGCTTAATCACAGTTCTAGAAAACACTAATGATATTCACAGTTGTGGTTGGTGTTTCTTGTATTTGTCTTTGGTCTAATAGTTCTTGTTGGCCCTATCAAATTCAGAGATTTTCATTTTTCAATATTATTATATATGAAAAATATAATAATTGTGTAAAATATAAAATAAAACTGCTCAATCTTGCGATATTCAAGAATGTATTTAAAAACAAATAAGAGAGAAACTAGAAACCAGAAACTAGAAACTAATAAAGGGTAGACATGTCCTCAATTGTAAATACAATTATATTACGATTGCCAGAAATGTAAAGCTAATTGTATAAGCCTTATTCAAATCTACATCATTATTATCAATAGAACAGAACAACTTAATATCATGCTTCTAGTATTTGTAAAAAATCACATCATTTGACATATTATCTATAGAAAATGAGAAGAACAAGAATATTGGCAATAAGAATCAAGATGTTTCTTGTATATTGAAGATCTCCTTTACATCTAAACTACATCAACTACAAGCTTACTTTCTATAAGCACATATGCTACTGTATATGTTATGGCTCAATTATGTAATATGGCATTTTCATTTCTTTTTCTCTTTTCTTAGTAATATGTTTGATTACATATGCTTGACTTATATGGACTACTAGATTAGTCACCCGATATGGACTATTACTAGTTGTATTACTTATGTGTTAATGGCGCATTGTACTTATTTGTATTTTGGTAGTATTTAAGTCTGTACTACTCGTTGTATTAGTTCAGCTTTAATCTACTGTTTTCTTATCACTTTCATACTCGCAATAAGATCGACTTGGCTTCTCACCTCGCACAAACGACATCCGCTTCATTCAACTCAGTGGATACCCGAACCCTGGACTACGTTGTGGCATAGCCCAGCGTCACTTAGTGTCTAAGCTCCTTGTAGTGGACAGCCCTCATACAATAGCCTCTGGGTGTTCAACTATGAGCAGTTATGGCTACTATGGACTTATTCGTTGTCAATGACACCAGATTAGCCATATGGACTTCAGCAGGGGAAAGCTACACCGTTGATTGCAATGCCGACACCACAATCACCTTGTGTGTTGTAGCCCAACTATGGGGGTATGGTGCGTAGTCTGCCAAGACTGACGGTATCCGTAACAGAAGATTAAAGCTCTATACCCCGAGGATGAACTTTCATTGTTCCCTCACATTTCCAGGAGTATACGATTCCCTACTCGAATCCACCACCGAGTGAAGACCGCACTGACGGGTTATATCAGCAAAGACTGCAACTGGTGGGATATACTAGTGGAAATACCTGACCGACAAACCCTGGGAGTAGCAACCAGGTGCACAACAACTGAACCAGCGGGATATACTGAAGGCAGCATACGGAGCGAGGAAGGAGAGTACATCCAGATGTTCCATAGTCCTCTGGATGGATACCCTTCTTTTTCAGGAGCACGGGAATTAATTGCTCACTGCAAGCTCATATTGCCTGAATTCAAGAAGACTAGGCCCCTTACTTGGACGACAATGCACATAGCAACATTTTATTTGCTACATGTACGGTTATTCAGAACGTACAGCAGACACGTCCTGTTTCCTCTGCATGCTACTCGTTGGTTATCCTACCCCGGGGGATCACAACGTATTGAGCCTCTGCATAGAATCGAGGAGAATCGAGAATAGGCACAGGGTGCGCAGCACGAGTTCTGGTGGACAGTGACTCAGCGCAAGATCCCTCCCTGCCAAGGTCTCATGTCTGAACATTCCTACCCACTTTGAGGAAAAATTTTCAGAAGCTGATCACTTCTGTTTCCTGTGAAGCTTGGGCGCGTGACTCATGATGAGCCTGTGCAGTAGGAATTGACTCATCCAGGAGTCAGCTGGCACTATGCCGAAGACATTTCAATTTCTATTCAAGGACAACAAACCTGAAATAGGTCGACACTCGACTTCGCTTCAAAAAAGATTTTGCCATAGCCTCAAGAATGAGTGAGAAGAATTTCCTTGTGGATTATTCTAGGATCCAGGGATGCAGTACTCTCAAGATATGACTCAGGTGCTTGGGAAATCGAAGCTGGAAGTGAGATGGTTATGCCAGACTTCATCAATCCAATGTGGAAAACAAAGACTTGAAATCTTCAAGAATCCATGCCGGATGCTGTGCAAGACAGCTGTCGCAAAGAAGGGTCACTGCGGACCTTCTCCCAGCCGCATATCCTTATACTCAGAACTTGACTTGGGACTAGCAACCCCAAATCAAGTAATTCTGCAGTCACGCCACAATCTATTTTAGAATGGTCTATTTCAAGAATAGATGTTCTAATTTAGAACGAGCTTCTGATACGCCACCAGAAGCAACATCACACAGCCACTTTCCTTAGAAGGAAGAACACGTGTCTTGGGTCGCTGCATGACTTGAGCTGTATTCGTTTCATGACCAAGAACGATGGGACTTCTCTTCAGAAAGGTTTAAAGAAGGCTGTCAATTTCGGAACCTTACCAATGGATTCCAAACCTCAAAATAGCCCAATCCCTTTTTACATTGTGGCTATTGCTGTCCTCCTGACCTACAATTACTGGGTCATCTATGTTTGTCTCAGGGCTCTATACTTAGTCCAACAAGATGAGCGCCAAGATAGAGAACACGGTATATAGGCAAGACCCCAAAAACCTTTAGGAAGTAACTTGACGGAGTTCTACCCTCATCATGGCAACACCACTGTCTCATCGATCTGAACAGTATTGGAGAGAAACCAAAACCCTTTACGAAATGTGAGTTATCCATTATACTGATGACACAGTCTATTTGCAAATCCCATTTTCCAATTACTTCCTATACTTTGGCACCCCAATCATTCACATCTGGGTGAACGAGCAGGCCCCCTCACCCATATCGCCTCAAAACACTGTTTCCCTTGTTCTTTCTTCCCTCTTGGTGGTAACATCTACATCAAAGAAGGGTCCAACTAGCTCCCATCAGAGATGTGATGGCGCTAGTGGTGCTGCGCTTGTGACAACCAGAACATTCGAGACAATGTCATTTCGTCTCTTGGATGCCTTTGCCGCGAAATGGATGGTGTGAATTAACGATTACGCATGTCTTGGGTACTCCGGGTGGTTGGTACGAGGTCCTTGTATGTGGGTGAGCCCATCCTCGAGTGGGGTATGAGTGGTGGTGAATTGAAGTGTGCACACGAGCAGGATGCTCTGATGCCCTCCTCCTCCCCCAATTCGCACAAAAACAAGGAAACTGAACACTCCAAGCCCTTCACCGTACCGGAGATCTGAGCAACTAGTTTCATCAAGAGTCATCTGCACTAGCCCATCGACTAGAAACTGTCGACTTGCAGATGGAAGATGCAGGATGGATGGATCCCCCTCCTCTCACCATGACCACCCCAGGACACCCAGCTCGGCATTCGAAAACCACTTTGAGCCAGTCTTCAGAGCTGAGAACAGTACAGTCTCCTCAACCCAAACTTGGGACACCAATCCTAACCCAAGCAGCACACTGTCTGGGATTCCTGACTCCTTTGAGCACCACAGGAGGTGGTTCAAGAGCAGGTTCAGTGGAACTGTATCCTACTCAACTGACCCGGCAGCACAGCCAGGACAAGGAACAGCTGAGAGTTCCCCCGAGTTCCCACAGCGACCATCCCCTACCGATTATGATGCAGACATCTCTTTCAGCAATAACTGATCAAACAGCGACTCCAGCAGCTATCGCTCACGCTTTCTCCAAAGTCCAACAAACAGTTCATGGTTTTCCAGTACCAGCAATCACCCTATCCCATTTTTCCTTGCCCCTCACCTTCTACAGAGTAGACACTGGAGCAGAATTTGAAGGATTTGCTCTAGAAAAACTTCCTTCTGATAATCACCAACCTATCTGAGTTAGTTCAGGAGGAGAAGAAATTCAAGGAACCCTTTGGCCTCTTCCGCAATTTGTCAAATCAGAATTTCTGGAAGAAAAGAAAGGCAAAGAAAAACAAATTTGGGAAAACTCTGATTCTGAAGACAATCTCCAACCCCCACCAAGACCACCAAAACTACCTTCAGGTTCACCTCCACCACCACCTCCAGGATCTCTAGTTGTTCCAAAAATGGCATTGAACATATCCGAATTAAAAGTCAACAAACCCTTTGACTTTGACAGAAATCCCAAACATTATCGACCATGGCTTTGAAGCATTCTTCTTTATTTGTCTGCAAACAGCAGGAAATACAATGATGACAAGAAGAAGATTTTCTTCACACTCACTTTTATGACTAAAGGTGCAGCCGAATCATAGGCACAAGCTTATACTGAAGAGCAAGTTGCCTCTGCTGCAACTGTCCCATCCACTTCCACCTCTACTGCTGTGACAAAGAAGAAGATCGCTACTGACTTTACAACAGGCACTTGGACAAGTTTTCTCGAGAAGCTTGAAGAGTCATTCACCCCCAATGACAAACCAGGAGATGCCCATCATAAACTCAAAGGACTCAAACAAGGAAATTGAATGGTTTCTGAATACATTACCAATTTTGAAATGACTTGGACCAAATCCGGAATGGATGGAGCTGAAGCCAAAATGGAGGCTTTCAAAGAAGGTCTTAATCGCAAGTTATTTGAATGCATTCTTAGTGGAGAAACCATATCTGATATGTATGCAGATTGGAAGAGGAAAGCTCAACATTTCAACCATGCTGAACGTTGAAAGAACCAGGCTTTAGGATGCTACACAGGAAACTGAACCCAACCGAAACCTACCTACCGTGGATATAACAGAGGAGGAGGTTATCGACAACAGTATCAGCAACCTACACCACCACCAGGCGCTGGCGCTTCCAAAGATCCATGGGCTATGGACATTGATGCTTTGAGCACCCTTCCATTTGGACAAGCAATAAAGGTTGCTATCAACGCCATGACTCCCAAAGAATATGCTGAATGCAAACACAAAGGGTTATGTTTCTTTTGTAGGCACTCAGGACATACTTCACAAGAATGTTCTCTTCGGAAGCAGCAACAGTCTTCCTCTAGACCGCAACAGCAATCTTCTTCCAGACAGAATCCACATCAACAACAATCTCGACCTCCACCAATGCAATCAAAGAACAAGGGCAAGCCTAATCCCAAAGGCAAGAAATTTACTGGACGACAACTTCACACCCATATTCAATCACTCATTGCAGAATTGAGTGATGACAAATACAAAGAATGGGAAAAAGCAGCAAATGCAACAGGAGACGAAGAGGAGGATTTTTGATAGGCTCGACTGTTTCAATGTCAGAAGAGCCTTTACCACCATATGATCCCCTTCCACCGTATTTGCCACCATATCTTTCCATCTATCAAGCTATTGTTGCAAATGTTTGAAACCAGAATATATTCTGTCCAACAGAAGTGTTCTGTTATTCCTGGGAAGGAGAACCCAAAACCGTTGAAACTAACACACTTATTGATTCAGGAGCAGGAGGATCCTTCATCAATGTTTCTATCGTCAAAAGAAACAATTTGCATACTGAAACCCTTGACCACCCCATAAAGGCTTTTAATGTCGATGGATCCAAGAATTGAGAAGGAATGATCGACAAGTATGTGGTTGCGAATCTGCGCTTGGGAGAGTGAGATTGCCCAGTATGCCTTTACGTAGCCAGAATTGGACGCAACAGCATCATTCTGGGCTTCCCCTGGCTTAAAGAGTTTGACCTGATTATTTCATGGTCAAACCAAACTCTACATTGGCGACCTGAACAGCTCATGGTTAATCAAGTTGATCTAGAAGAGGAGCTAAGCACTACCTGGCATGCATTTTATGTTAAGCACCTGCTTGATAGCTCTATCCATGATAGCGACGAAATTCAGCTTGCAAGATTAGAGTTGGAAGACGAATTCTCCAATATTTTCTTAGGTGCAGATGACAAAGACTTCTGCAACCAGACCAACAACGACTTAGATGAAGATACAATGGAGATGGGGATTAGCCAACAATCCGTAGGAGATTCCTCCATCTACCTCTCCCCTAAGTCAGGAGAATTCGATCACGACAAATCCACAGAAGGCAAAGTTTCTCTGGACAGTAACCCTGTCCAAGACAAGATCCTAGCAGATCAGAACCCCTCTTCACTGATGTGCTCAACCCCACCAACTCTTGAATAGATGATACCTAAGAAATTTCACCGATTTCTTGACATATTTCGAGAATCAACCGCAAACCGTTTTCCAGCAAGCTGACCCTGGGATCACGAAATCAATCTCAAACCAGAGTTCAAACCAAAGATAGGCAAAGTTTATAAGCTGTCTCCAGAAGAGACGCAGCTTACCGCTGACTTTATTAAAGAGCACAAAGCTAAAGGCTATATCCAACCTTCGAAGTCACCCTTTTTCTTTGTTGCTAAAGCCAATGGCAAGAAACATCCTTGCCAGGACTATTGATGGTTAAACAACTGGACCATCAAGAATGCCTACCCTCTCCCAAACACGCTTGTTATTATGGATAAAGTTTGCAATGCACAATATTTCACAAAGTTTGATATTCGATGGGAATATAACAACATACGCATCAAGAAAGGCCATGAATGGAAAGCCGCTTTCATTACTCCATTTGGTCTATACGAACCCACCGTCACATTCTTTGGACTTTGCAATTCACCTGCAACTTTTCAAGCCATGATGGATTCCATCTTTGCAGAGGAACTGCAAGAAGGATGGCTAGTCATTTATATGGATGATGTCCTGATCTTTTCTGACAACCTCAAATCTCTCGACGCCTACACCATTCGTGTCCTCAATAAGCTTCAGAAGAATGATTTGTTCCTCAAGCCAGAGAAATGTTCATTCGCTCAGACGAGCATTGAATATCTTGGACACATCATTTCAAAGGAGTTTTCAAGATGTCGAAAAAGAAGATTCAGGCTGTCCTAGATTGGCCAACTCCAACTACACTCAAACAAGTTCAATCTTTCATAGGATTTGGAAATTTATATTGATGCTTCATCCAAAAATATTCAGAAGTAACTCGACCTCTAAACGACCTTATGCAAAAAGACATCAAATTTGAATGGAATTTGGAAGCACAACAAGCTTTTGAAGAGCTTAAAAGACACTTCACTGAGGAACCAATTCTTCTCATTCCAGACCTGACCAAACCTTTTGCTATCGAATCCAACGCTTCAAAGTATGCATCAGGTGCTGTTTTACTTCAAGACGGCCCTGACACAGCCAGTGCTGTCAGTGATACGTATGAAGCCAGGCAGTTGCCCAAAACTGATGATGCATCAGGGAGGGCAGTTCCCCAGGCCTCAAAACACTGGTATTATAGGCCTGTTTTGCTCTAGGTGTGACAGCTTGGGCAATTGCCCAATTTTCTTTTTTGTGCAGGGTTGTAGATCAGGATGAGGTGATCCTGATGGTACTCAAATGACATCATCAGCATTAGTCATTGTTGAGAAAAATGCAAAAGAATTTCGAAACATCAGCGGTTTTGAAATTTTTTTTGTGCAGGGTCGTAGATCATACTCAGGTGATCCTAAAAGTACTTGAATGACATCAGCAGCATCAGTAGTTGTTGAGAAAAATGCAAAACAAAGTTGATTCCCACAGTCATGTGACCTGTTATTTGAAGAAATATCAATAGCCTCTAGCAATTGTCTAATGCTTCATATGAAGGGACTTTAACAAAAATTTGCCAAAGTCCAACTCACAACATGTGACTCTGTGATGCCATCAGCATCCTTGATGGACTTATTGCACCAATGCTGGGCATGGCAGTCATATATTCACTATTTGTTTGCATTTGAGGCCAGAATATCAAAGTTTCAGAGGCCAAGCATGAAGAAAAAGGCAAGTTGAAAGTCACATGACTTGTTGATCTACTTGGCATCTGTCACATATCACAGTCCATAACACCCCTCTATGTCATTTTTACAGGGCAATTGCCTCTGTTTTATAGGGCTGGGGAACTGCCCTCCCTGATGCATCGTCAGTTTTGGGCAACTGCCCGGCTTCATACATACCACTGACAGCACTGGCTGGACGATGAAGGAAGGTTGATGCTGGGGATAGTTGGCTGCCCATTGGCGTCACCACTGGGGGAGGTGGGCTGTGTGTCAGGCATAGGGCTGTGCTCAGCAATGTTGGTATTATTGTTGGACATCATTGTAAGTGATGATTTCGTTGGTGGGGTGATTTTGGAGGAGAAGGTTGGATAGGAGGGTTATATGTGTGGATTGCTTATGCCTTTGGATCTTGATACCGTCCCTGCACAATTTCCTTCCTCCGGGCATCCTAGTCAGGCCCAACAGTCGGTTCTGTGGTTTGTGTGCTGTGGTTGATGAGCTGGCTCACGAACTTTGGCGAATGCGGTACCTAAGGGTGAAAGATAATTAGCCTAATTTATAAAAGCAAAGACACATCAGTTATGTGTTGTTTATTCGTACCTTCTGGACTTCCATTGAGTGTCTTGTTGCCACCTGCTTTTCTGGTCTAGTGAGTGTTAGATGTGGTGTAATAGAGCTCAATGCTTACACTTTGAGAGTAGTCCAAGATGCCCAGTCACAGCGCTTTCCAGGGCTTGAGGAAAGAGTTCCTCCTGGGTGAAAAGCCCATGTACGCTGCAGGAGTGGAAGGAGGGTACACGGCTGATGTCTTGGCTCTCATCCAGCGACAGTATTTGAAGAGATGGCCCGTCTTGCTGCCACATGAGCAGGAGCAATCTCCTGATTTCCTTGCTGCCATTGACGATGACGTGCCAGAGGAGGAGTACGCGATCCCTAGTGAGGACAAAATGAAGGCAGAGGAATACACAAAAGCTATGGAGGAGCACACTGAGTATCAGCATGTCCTCACATTTCAAAAGGGAGTAAGTTGCACTGTATTTGTTTGTGTGTGATTGTGACTAACTCCCTCTGAAGCAGATCAAACAGTGGATGACGTACCAGCACATTAAGGACAATGACATGGACCCCAACACCCTCAGCTCCAATAACCCTTATCACATCCTCATGCATAAACTCACTGGCATCATGCAGAAGAAACTGCGACTGAAGACTCCAGTGAATGTCTGGAGACAAAACCACCAAGATGAGGTCGAGGCCGAGCTGAGAGTGTGTGTTGTAGCAGGAGAGATAAATCAAAAACAGTTGGCAGCTTTGCAGGAGATGGTGGTGGTGAAGGATCTTTTCAAGAAAATCCCTCAGGATGAGAAGGACAATTGTACATCATTGGCGAAGCAGGAACATGTTGTTGCATTGACAGAGTGGGAACGAGAACTGAATGCCCCACTTTCAATGAGCCCTGCCCACCGTCAGCGGTGAGTACTCCATTTAAGCAATTCATATATGTTTGTGGAGTTATCCCTTTTCTTCCCTCAGGTGCATTCATGGTCTTGTGCAGTTCATGCAACCTATGATAGACCTTGTGTTGGAAGCCACAGGTCTTATGGTTACTGTGCTGGCTGGTGGCCTGGAACCTGCTCATGGGGGTACGCTCAACATTATCAGGTAAGAAAGCTACCATGTTGTTTAATCCACTAACTGATGTTGAATGTATCCATGCAGGGACAACACCAGGGGACATTAAGATGAACTTCAGACACATGGAACATACACGATACAAGAAATATATTGTTCCAATCTTTGGGAGTTTCCTTCAAAAGTGTTTCAGTAAGTAATGTGTTACTGTATTGCAAACATTGTTGATTCTGTTTTGCAGCTCCTGAGGAGTGTCGATCACGCGCCTTGCCTGCTAACAAGCCCTCTGATGAGGGCTTGGACCCTTTGGATCCCATATATCTGGATGCTGCCGGTGTGAATTTCGACACTCTCCCTCTCCCAACAGCATTGAACACCCAATCCCTCCCCGCTGCAATGACAAAGGAACCCGTCCCTGTACCCCCTCACCCTGGTTCTCCTTTACCTGCTGCTCAAGTTTTAACATCCCATCCTTCTCTGCCAACCGGATTGAACGCATGACCCCTGCCTCCTCCAATGATGAAGGACGTCATCCCTGTACCCCTTCACCCTCACCCTCATTCACCTGCCACACACTACTTGCCGTCTGGTCCTTCTCAGCCAACTGGTTCACCCTGCCCACCCCCATGACGAATGACTCCATTCTTGTACACCCTTGCCCTCGCTCTCATTCACCTGCTCCTCAATACTCGCCATCTTCTCCTGCTTCCCTCACTTCTATAAGCGAGGAACATGTATCAGATCCAGCATTTAGCCAGTGTGATCTCATAGGTCCAGAGTGTGTTTGAGCAGTCAGGGTCTCTGAGGCTGCTGGGGTGAGTTTGCTGGGGATGCCAGGGCCATAGAGATTTGTTTGGGGGTGGGAGGGGGTAAATAAATGACCAAGCAACCCTCCCAGGGTGGGGGCTTGGGTAGGCCTGTGGGGGGTGGAAGT